TTTATACTGTCTATTGATATATCGTTTAGTAGCAGTCGAATATGCAGAATCCTGTAAAACCCCGTGATGAACTTGAATGTAACTTGAATGCAAAAAAAAATGCAAAAGCCAATCAAATTCATAGATCTTCGTGTCGATTATTTCAGAACCTGATTGCCTAATTTGGTATATCACCTGACTGTAATATTACAGTTTTTTTACGGTTCGTAAATTATTTCGAAATATTTCACTCTATTAAATTTGCTGATGATATTACTAGAAAAGAGATGTTCTCATGAATAATAATTGATATATGATAATACTTTTGAATAACATAGTATATATATATATTTTATACTAACTAACCTCTTTGAGGCTAAGGTCTTTATTATTGAGTTGAGACTCACAGCTTATGTCTTAAGGGACCCCATACATTAAAGAGTACATTCTAGCCATACCTGCATCTTTTGAGCATCTAATTAAGTAGTTTGCTTATTACTAGACTTTATACTAGGTGTTATACCTGTAATCTGACTTCTGTAATACAACTCTACCTGTATTACTGTTACATCTCTGTTACATTAGTCAGTCAAGAAGTCCTAAATGCTTAACCTATTCCCTATAGAACTACTTTATCCTTAAGGCATTATTACTAGAGCCGCCTATTACTTATATAACATATAGACCTAGTTTTCTTTAGATAGAAACTACCAGATAAGTTCTATACCTTTACAGGCAGGTCACATCACCAATCCTTTCCACAAATACATTAGTCAGATAGGTTCTAAATCTTTACAGGCAGGCTATACTGCCTAACTACCTAGCCCTTATAGAGTTTACTTAAACCTCAGTCTATACTTGACAATCTATACTTCTGATTTCCCAAACTAAGCCTTACTTCTGGTTCTCCAAACTTTCAATTCAGATAGCCTGGAAGGGCTGTGCTTCTGATACCCGATTGGGTCCTTTTCCTCTAGTTGTCCGGTAGCCTAGTTAGTGGAGTGCTTTGCCAAACACTTTGGTCCTATTTGGTTCTCTCTTTTCCTGCCATTTGGTTTCACTTTTTTAGATTATTAGTTAATACTATCGAAAGTTTGTGCTACTTCTTTACTCAAGTCTTGCCAAGCAGGCTTTTGTATTCCAATCCGCTAGATTTACTCAGCAGCTTCACTATTATGCAACTTATACATTATATAGTATTTCCACTACCTCCCAGTACAACAGTACTGGTATAACTCTATTACAGGTATTAACTCAAATAGAATACAGTCTTTTAAATGCATTTCATAAATTCGAATTTCATCACTAATAGGATTCGAACTCTTGTCCTACTGCATGACGGTGCGACAACTTACTAACTACACTAAGTCGCCACACCCTAGTATAGAAAAATATTTTAATAATGCCCATATATAAAAAATAGTATAATTCGATTTTGGATAGATTCAAAAGCAACATATATATCTCAAAAATGATTACAGTATTTCTCTTAGTTAAAAATGATTTTATGCTAGAAATTTGTTTTGATGATATGTAGCTAAATCTAATATTCTTATAAAAGGATGATTTGGAATTGCTTGCTATTATTCCATATATATATCTAATGAATACCTATTTCGGTTTGTCTAGATGGTAATCACAAACTATCAAATCATTACACCTAATATATCTGGATCCTTCCTTCTGTCTCTTATATATATGCTTATATTTATCTCCAAGAACAAGGTTTGCTAATAAATTGGTCTCACTTATACTATTCCTTCCACTAAGTATCATGCTGAAAGACCATGTAATTGCTAGATATTCAATATTTCAGGATGATTCATGCTTTGTAGCCTCATCTATATTCATAAGGAATAGTTTTATAGGAGGTATTTTTGAATTTTTTTGCATGCTGGATTGGGAATTTGTAAATCTCTTTTCTATAAACTGGATAAAAATTTTCTTCTTTTTTGGTTGAATCAAAAATTTGTCTGTTTATATTTTATATAATTAATAATATTATCAAGGCAAAATAACAAACTTAATAGAAGTAGTTTAATATGTATCATTAATCATACTAGTATCTAATGCTATAATAAGTAATTCCTCACTTCTTCCTATTGTAATATAATGAGATCTAATTAAAGTTATATTTTTTATCTCTTGAAATTAGTTTTTTGTATTGATTAGTTGTAATATATTATCTTTATTATCTTCACTATTTTCATTGATAATAGTTTTATTACTTATCTTAGAAGTAACTTCAATATCGATTTTTGAAGATTTTAATATTAAACCAATTTTATTAATGATATGAGTCAATATATCAATACTAATATTTTAACTTCAATCAAACTTTTCCTGACGATCACTTGTACCAATCTAATACCAAAAGCAAGTTGAAGATTCAAGCCTAGAAGTCGACAACAACTTGAAGTTTTCTTGATATGAACTGTTGTTAATGAAGTCTTTAAACGTGATATACCGAGGAGTGGGTGTTTTGGACAGTTGGCGAAGGAGTCAAGTTTTAGTTTGCTGCTATTTTTTGGGTAGACTCCTCTTTGTGTTTGGCATCCAAACTGAAGAAATCTCTAGGACAGTAAGTAGAAAAGAAAACTAAAGTTAGTTTGAAGATGGAAGACTTTAAAGAACTCTTAGAACAACACTCCTTTGTTGGAAAACTTGCAGAAACTTAATATTTCCTCGCTGTTTTTTGGCTTTAAGATTTTTGATAAAAAGTGAGGAATTTGGCTTACCCCTCCAAAAGATCAGCATTGTTTACCACTTCCATATCGGAAAACTAAATGATGACAAATCGGTACATATTACGAAATAAATAAAATGATAACAACAAATCATGTGGAGTTTTTAAAGTCTTTATACTTTTGGATGATGATATGGATTTAATTGGAAAAAGTCAAGCAAAGTGTTTTGAAATATACAATGTGTCACTTGTATATAATTTTTAACCTCTAGCATGAATTATAATGCATTTTGTTTTAGTTTTATAGTTCTATTTTTATCAAAACTCTCACATTTAATAGTAGATTGTTACTCTATATAATTAGAAGTTTTCATCTGATTAGCAAGTTTTCTTCTTTTTAGTGATAGTTTCTTTTAGATTTTTAGTTTAGTTTTTTATATTTCTTAGTATTAGTATTCGTTTTCTTTGATGTATTTGTTTTTATTACATACCCTTTTTTTGTTTCCTATTATCCTCTTTTTTTTCTTTTTTTCTTCTCTACAAGAAAGTGTTATCAGTTTGGCGGCATCTATTATAGAGTGGGAATTTTAATGGGGCGAGCAACAGCCAGCCGAAAAATCTGGAGGAAATAAATCCAGAGTGAGTTCCAGATCTCTGGAGGAGGCCAAGTGTTGCTAGGCAGGTTGCATCTGAGCAAAACACAGCAGTTTAATGGTTTGCTCTGACTGCAAGTAAATGTTTTGACATCTGCAAGGTATGCCATGGGTGAGTTTACTCTTTGATTAGAATACTATAAATTTAAATTTCTTCATATGCCGATGTAGAAATGAAAGTCTGTTCTCATAATAAAATAAACAGAATTGCTGAAGAAAAAAAAAAACAAGGCCGCTATTTTGTAGTAAATTATCTTAGCTACAAAATAGTGGCTTCTGTTTTTTTATATTACTTTTGTAATATGAACTATTAGCTTTTAAAAATTAGCTATTTTTATTATTTTTATTGTCGTTTCTAAGTATCCTAAACTGTAGTAAAAAATTTTTATAAGTTCTTTATATAGTAAATTACTATGTTTCTATACTGAACTCTACTAAAATTTTTATAAAAGTTCGTTATATTGACTGTAAATGATTAAAAACTTTAGTTCTACTGTGGCTGCGCCACGATCTACGTATGGATGCATGATCACGTTACTGGTCGCCCTGGAAAATACTGTTATTTGTTATCGTTATACCGTAATCTATTTCTTTTCAGGGCAGTTAGTAACTAACTTTTCGTTACTATCATTCCTTGTGATTCAGCATTTGGCACTCATTAGAATTTATGACCTCGTCATCATTTGAATCAACACCCACTTGATCGCTTAGTTGTGTATTTTCCTCCAAACCTTTCTTATTTCACCTTGTTCCATTGAACAGTTAAGCTGTTAACGTTAATTTTTAAGCCTAAAATTATAGATTCGACATACAGTATCGGACAGCAAGCAATATCCACTCTTTATATATAAAATATGAAAGTAATAGATACAAAAGCTAAAGTTGAAAGGTCAAAAAAGAATCAAAAGCCCGATAGTGATTTGGATGAAGTTGTTGCTCACATTTTAAGGTATATTTTAATAATTTATTTAGGGCATTGTTATATGATACTCCATGCATTTGATGCACCCTTCTATATCTAAAAATTTTGACTATGAAACCGTCTTCGGGAGTACTAAGTAAAAATATTCCTTGCTAAATTTTACTACAAAATATATCTTACCCTAACCTCTTCTAACCTTTATCCATACCCTTACCCTAATCTTAAAGAAATTAAATGCATGGGGCACCGTTTAGCATTTCCCTTTATTTAATTTAATTTATAATTTTATCTAAACCATTAATATATATATATATAATTCGAATAGCGACGAAAAACCAGTTTTGAACGCGTGTTCAGTTCCAAAATGTAAACAAAATTTGTCGATAATGAGTTACACTTGTCAATATTGTAATATGAAATATTGTATAACGCATAGGTGAATCTCGCTAAATGATTGTCTATTTATGTTATTACTTTATTATGAGATAAACTATTAATGTGAATCAATTCTATAAGGCATCCCGAATCTCATTCTCCGAAATGTGTCGAAAAAATAAAAAATAGTTCAAAATCTGAATTTAAACAAGAATCTATGCGTTTTATAACACAGGAGAGAAGAAATCCTGGATCAACAAATGTGAAAAAATTTAATGTTGAGAAAAGTAAAGAAGAATTGAAGAAAAAATACAAAGAGAAATTAGAACATATTAAACGTGAGGAAAGGGGCAAGAAATAATTCTTTTTCAGGTGTTCTTAAATACAAATATATTTTAATTGAATCATAAAGATCGGGTGCGAATTCAAAAAACAGAAATTTTTAATGGGTTTTAAAATATAAAATTATCAAACAATATATTTTTGTTCTATTTCTAGTGCGTTTAGTTGATTCATATTTGTCGACTTGACTAGGTCGATATTTAAAAAATCGACTAAGTCGGCTATGGCTAAGTTTATGAATCTGATTGGATAATTATTGCCACGTGATGACATTGATTATAACTACAAAACATACTCTTTGTATAGATGTACTATTTTTTACAGGGGGGATAAAAATTTCAGGTCGGATATATTGGTACTGGGCCAGCATTAAGCAATATTAGCTAACATAGTTTTTAGCAAACTTATTAGCTAGGCATTTTATTTAATAAATAG